AAAAAAAAAAATATTGAGTTGAATAAAATGAAATAAAGTTGTATTTAGTTTCTTTTAACTCCAGAATTAACCCACCTTTTGCAACCTCATTCTAAAAACAACTACTTCACAAATAGTCCAGTGTATCGCCTATCAACAATTTGTAATAAAATTAGTAATTTTGACGACTTTTTTTTTCGATTCCTGTTCTAAGCTAAAAAGTTGTTTTTATAATTTGAATATTGATGTTTAATTTGTTCTCAGTTCTTTCAGTTATTATTTTCTTGTGTTAATTTAACGATAATTTTAGTGTTTGAGTACTGTACTCTTACCATGTGGGGTGTTACATATATTTATTTTATTATTTTTTAAATTTAATACATAGGTATCTATTATTGTTACTATATTGGTATTATTACTATAATAATATTTAAAAACAATATGAAAGTTGATTTTTCACTTCAAACACGATTGAAATTAAGTCGATTATATCTCAATTTCAATTATTATCTATTCACTGTTAGTAATTGTTGAACTGTGATATTTAACGATAATGGCAGTAAAAAAAATTATATAATTTTAATAACATCCATTGGTTGTAATCACTAATCAGTTCTTCTAACAATGACAAGATGAACTGAGTTATTCATTTCGGTGGTATACATTGATCAATAAAAAAAAATAGTAAACTTTTTTTTGATTTTTTATAGATTAGACGGACGTTTGGACAACATTCAATGTACGAGATGATTTTGTTTACTTAAGAATTTATTTTTAACTAGAAATAAAATATGTACTTAAACGATCAACGAAAGCATTTCTTGTTTAGGTGTATACATTCAAATAACATTAAAAGTCTTACAGTAACGTATCGTGACACAGGTACAAATGTTTATCTAATCCCGATGTTGTAGGGCTGTTCACTGAATATTTTTCCTAGGGCAAAATTATTCGCTGAAACAGTTGTTAAATTTATTTAACGACCATTTACGAGTTCACAAGTTAAGTCTAGGTTCTTCAAAAAGCGAGAAGACCGTGGATCAATATTGCGTACGGCATAGACTGCAGCAGTCGTCAGTTCCCAACGAGGAGAAAAATTATTACCTACATCGCGCGTCGGTTCAGAAACGACAGTAATATCTCGCCGATTTATCGTCAGTTTTCGCGCCGGTGTTGGTTTTTATCGGTCACGCGAAAATCTGTGTTATATCTTCCACCAGTTTGGTAAGCGAAAATAATAATAATAATAATAATACATCGAAATGATAACCACGGCACCCACCTAATCTAACCATAATGTCAATAATAACATACCTACCTACATATCTACTATAGTATACGGAAATGAAATAAAAACGAAAATACCAAAACCTCCATTTTTACGCGTAGGCATATAAATATGCCTCTTTTTTCGCACTTACGATATGTCGATATTTCACGATATTATTCTTTACTGCTGTTCTCCCGGGAGTTTTTACTTCTGATACAGCGAAGAGGGTTTCGGTCATTATAATATTTTTTACGTATAGATAGTATGATTATTTTATCGTTAAACGAGCAATATCATGGAAGATACAAGAAATTTAATTTTTTTATCAACCCATAAGATCAAAGTCAGTATATACTGGATTTAACATGGTTTAAAAATATAGGTACTTAAAATTAATGCACATCACTATTAAATGTCTTTATTTTTAACACACACAGTTTTTAATTATACTACTATTAAACATTTATTAACCATCAAGTATGTACCAATACACCCCAAAAACAGAAAACATATGTCCTTCAGATATTAAAAAAACTCCAATTAAAATATGCCTTAAATACTTTAGTTATTAAAGTAGGGTTTATAATATATAACCAATCGAACACAAGTTTTAATAGTACATACAATTTTAAATAGGTAGTACATTGTAAAAATGTTTTGAAACAATCAACCCTTATTTTTCGATATTCCTACAATTTTAGGGCGAGGGTAAAACTCATATCCACGATTTGCGCGCGCTGCCGGTACTTTATTGCTATCATTATTATTGTTTTACACGAGCTACAGTAGTGCTGTAACAAGATAAAAACGAAAAATAACGACGCTACATCACGCTACCGCCGGACGGACAATATAGGCGGAGCTACAACACGAGGCTGAATGAAGTTAAACACAACATTATTTTATGGTATGATTATTATATGATAAACTTATTGAAAATATTAAGGGAGAATGATACGATAATGAAGTTAAAAGCTTGACATTATTCGTGTTGTGGCTCGTGGGCGGGTCCGTTTGTTTGTGTAGGTGCGAATAATCAATTAAACCTGTCTCGTTAGTTTTCTACTCAAAAAATCTAATGGTTTTTTTTTTTTATTAACCCTGAAAAGTCATTTTAATATTAATTTTATTATTATTATTATTATTATTATGGCTGCAGCGAGAAAATTTAAACGAAACCAAGTTATAACACCAATGATTGACATAAAGTAGGCATTTAGTGAGTTGTGAGAGTTTTATGGAAGATGGATGAGTATAAAGGAATATTCCGACAGCTCACTGTCTAAAAAAAAAAATAAGAAATAAAATAAGAAAACAAACTTTTGAAAACGCAACTACATAATATATAAGACAAACTACTATGTGAGCAATATATAAATGATATATATAGCCGGTCTAAAATGAAAATCCATTTCCATGTTTATTTGTAGAAAAATATGTCCGATTAACAATTGAAAATATTTCATTCATACATTATAAAAGGTATACCATAATAATTTTGTAACTTTCCCTTATTTATGATCATTTTTTGTTTTTTAATTCAGAAACTGAATTTTACTCTATAATACATACCTACGCATTGTTTTTTTCGATAAAATTTTAATTTAAAAAAAGAATCGTGACATTTATTTTTACATTTCGTAAAATATAGGGTACACGAGATTTGCTTACTTTGATCAAAGACTACAAGTGACTATAACATAGCTATTGTTTCCGACCAAAAAACCTTTACCTATACACTAGTGGGTAATCGCAACAATATAATATTATTGCGGTGGCTAATTTCATTTAACCAACAAATCGCACGAATCGATATTCGGATGTTAATGTTAACATGTGGTAAGACACACATACAATAAAGCTTGAATATTATATTATATGTAATTTAAATGTATTTCTATTGTGAATTTCTATATCTACTATATTTTACATTATTCAAGGATATTATTGTTTTTTTTTGTCATTTTTTTAAATCCGATCAGGAGTTAATGCTGCGAACGGAATCATAGTGCTTTGGCTTAAGCTGATTACATATAATAATAATGTACACTCAGACCACAATAGTATATTTTTTAAATGTAAATTCTATGAATCTAATATTCATGTTTATTGAAATCTGCAATAAAGTAATATAATCTTCGAGTAGCTATAAATATTATTGATCCACAGCTTAAAATATAGACCGTGAATATTTCGTTACTCGTATATATTATATTACATGGTAGTGTATATAAGAATCTTTACACGATTTTATCATATAACGAATTGTATAGCATATGATATACGAAACATCAAATTAGATAAAAGGTTAATTTGTCTAAAACATTTAAACATAAATACATAGTTAATTGTCTTATAAAATTAATAAATTAACTAGTAAATTAAAAAATGATACGTTATTAAATAAAAATATTGTTTATACATACATATATATATATATATATATATATATGTTTAACGACAGTTATAATCAAAAATAAGTTGTTTTTATATTTTTTCACGCTGTATACACCATCATGTGTACAACGATTTAAAATACAATCAAACCAATACATATTTCTTCGTTTAACAATTTTTCAGAAACATGAGTCTATTCACAACAGTTCTGATAGTATAGTATGAATGTTTAAAAAAAAAATGGTTAATTTTTAATTATTATGAATACATTTGGAATATTGCACAATCAATAATATTATGTGAAGAACAAGAGTGATTATGAAAAGAAAAAATTAATTGATTTTTTAAAAATAAATTGAGCAAAGTAATTACTGTTTTAAGTATTAACTTTAAGCGTATAGAGTCAAATATATTACTGGTGAACTATTTACTGATAATTTTAAGTTCAATACTTTGATTTAACTTTAAAAAACATATGTTATTTATTTCCATAAACTCACACACCCTTGACACTGAACAATATTATGCATGATTCCATATTACGATAGTATCGCACCTCTAGAATAAGACTCCATCGAATATTCATTAATTTTGAGTTATGATTACATTAGAATAGCGAAAAAATAGATTTATCAAATGCAAGAAAGTCACATTCAGTATGATTTTTTCATCTAGCCACAAAAAAGATGTGTCAGTATTGAATGATTTAATTTTCAAAGAAAGAGAGCTATATTTACTGTGTGGCAGTATACTTATTTTAATTTACCTAATAATTAATCACCAAAATCAAAATTCAAGACTGCCTTCTTTCAATTTGTGGCGTTCATGAACTAATTAAAAACTAATTATTGTGTGATATGTTGAATGAAATGTACGATTTGTGATATTTCAGCTATAATATGAAATTCCATACCCTATATTTTAGAATATGGACGTGATAAAATTAATTTTTGATGCAATACAGCATGCATTTACTTGGAAGTTGTTAAAGGTTACAATTCTAACTTTTTGGGTTCAGGAGAGTATTTCGTAATATTTAAAAAAGTAATATTGTAAAGTGTGTTTGCGAGTATTTGATTTTTTAGATTCGAAAGCATAGGTAAAAAAAACTCTTTAAGATATCTTAATTCAAACTTCAAATCACTTTTTTATCAAAACTATAAATTTTGAGTTGTGACAGTATATTGTGCTAGAGGTGCGAGCTGAAGTACCTATACTGAGTAGTAAATATTTCATTAAAATATCATTAATGATACAATACAATACAAATCATGAACGTTTTGCACTTTTATATCATGATTGAATTATAGTCGAATGTCATTATTTTTACAGTAATACAGTATAAATCACCCACCTGTAATAGTTGAGGACCTGAGCAAACACGCCGGGATGTCTGTCGAAGAAGTATTCGTTCAGCACCGGATCGTAGTTGGCCAACGCCTCGGTCAGCCGGCTCAATCTCGTGGCGGGTATTTTCTTCAGGGTGGCCTTGTAGGTCTCGTGCCTGATGCCGCCGACGTTCAGCACCACCCGGTTCTCGGCGTCTATGTTCAGTATGTTCATCATAGTGCCCGTGCAGTTGGCGCCTCCCGTCGACTGCGGCTGGTGACCACCTACCATGTTAACCTGAACAGAACGAAACCACTGCAGCCACCGTTTATCGTCACCATCGGCCGAGCTCCGATTACCGCGGTTGTACCACTACGCCCGACAAACCTTAACATGGCGTCCTCATGTCTGCAGTTGAACCCAGATGCACCTCGACCGTGGATCGTATCACCCACACGCCAATCTCCCACCCCATTCTGCAACACAAGACGAAATTGGGTTAGTTAACACAATACGCATAATATAAAACAAATAGAGATCGGTATACAGAATAATTATCGTTTAGAAAAAACCATACTATATATTGTCTATATCCGATATCGATGTTAAAAAACCGTCTTATCGATATGTTCAATGTGTTATTCGCCTCCCGTGATCGTTTTTATTATTTCCTGTGACAATGGAAATCCATACAAACATCGTGTCGACGTTCGCCATCACAATTACACTTATTATTACATTACCTACATTAACTATAATCATTATTAATTTAGTTTCATTTGTATATTATGTTTAAGTATTTATATATAGTTTTGCGTCCAACGATATATTTTTATAGGTCTTCTTAACAAAAAAAAAAATGTATTTTTGAGAATGCGAAAAAAGACCTATAAGAAATATCCCCGAAGTGATTTCATCCCTCGACTGTCTTGAACGACTATTCTCGAGCACAGTTTGGTGATAAAAAGAAACGACTATGTGCCGAGGCACGCTGCGTATGTGATTATTCGAATGGTTACTGATGACATAAAATACAAAGGATGAAGGTTTCAATAACCATCCTGCACACCAGTGACTATGCAGCCACTGCAATTATTGTATACGTCAATATTGAATGAATCGATTTTGCACGGTATATTGTTCGAGAAAATCGGGATTATTTTCTTCTATTAAATTCCTATTCGATATATCACATTTTCGTTTCAGATTATTACTGAAAGTCATCGTTGAAAGGATTAAATGGGCTCGTTATTACGGTGCTTTTGAAAGAGTTGATTAAATACTATGGCTCCTGAACCCTTTATTCCGTTTAGCACGGGTTAGATGTTTAATGAAAAAGAAGAGATCGGCTTATTACCAACGGAGCGAATGAGACGTGTGCACAATATCCAAACGCGTATACAACATTGCCAGATGAGAGGCCACTGCAACACGCGATGGACGTTGCTGCATCGTTTAAAGACTTCCATTTCGCTTGTCAACTATACTCGGTGTATACTACATCGTTCTCCTGATTATTATTATAATAAGGTGCAGGTTTCCGTTCTGTGTTCGAAAAATCTTCATTCTAATTATAATGGCCGTCATTGATGAAAACGTTTCGTTTCGCTTGTGCAAACAACATTTCCAGCGACAAAAGAGGTTTTTAATAGTAGTTTATTTTTTTTTTTTTTTTGTTGCAGCCACATCATCAACCATCATCGTATCCATTGGCCGAGACCCAGTCAGTCATTTTTTTTTTAAAACAAATAAACTCAGACCCTCGAGTGTGACGGAGCAAATAACGGGGAGGGGGGAGAGGAAGGTATATCTTTACCACGCTCGATAACGACTCTCACCTCTCACACATACACATACTCGCATGACTTCACGCGTACGTGATATTTTTAACGATAAAGGGGAAAACATTCAAAATGTTGTCTATCATCCACACCGCTATGATGGTAGACAATTTCATAATTTTCAGTACTACATATTACAGTGATCTCGTCAACATCGCCTTGCATGTGGTTACAATACCTCATTTGGGGAAAATTAACCGCTCAAGAATTTTTTGTGAGTAGGTAGGAGATATTCTAGAGAAATGTATAATATTATACTGTATTACAGTATATTTTTCAGATACTTTGTAAGACTTGGTAATTTGTAACTACTCTACAAAATTCAAGTTATTAGTTATTTGGCAATTATTGAAATGCATACTTGCAGTTTGAGCTCACTGATTTAATTTTAATCGAATCACAAAGTCGCCAATAGTTTTTAATTTTAATAACCGATTAGATAAATGTTAAAATATATCAAATCCTATTTAATGAATTAGAAAAGGGGAGAAGAAAATAATTTATTAAACAGAGCGTAACCTGGTAAAGGTTACTCAGTAAGTCACTGTAATGCATGTGTTAAATTTGAATTCAATGATGAATCATTGCAATTCGAAAAACAATTCTGAACGAAGACAGTATTATGAGCTTATATTACTAAGAATATTTTACCTATGATATAATTATGGTAATTATATTATTACCTACTACTATAGTAATACGGTAAATTGAGTTAAATTTTTTTTTAAAACATTACATTTATTATACTATTAATATTTGATAATTATTATGTTATACTATAGTATATTTTAAAAATATTATAGATTATTATTATTGTTATTGACTTTTGAGTCAATACCTACTCGCCGTAGAATGTTGTAGGTATAAGTCAGCAGTATTAATATAATATGCAATAGAATACAATTCAACGAAGCCCATTAGGGAATGAGGCAATGCCCTATCCTTTGCTCTATTATAAAATAATTAAGTATGTAAAACAAAATTATTAATTACGGATTAATATGTTTTGTATTGTAGTTTAATTTTGTCCCCTCACCTGAAAATTAACCTATGGGCTCCCATGATACAATAGATTTAAATGTTTTAAAAATTACATTGTGTGTATATTAAAATATAACAATATACGCACAATTTACAAGTCCTCGTGAATAATATTTTTGCATAAGAAATTAAAATAAAATAATTAAGACAATTTTTCTTTGTTTAAATATCTCACTGTCGAAATTTGAATTTAAAATGTCTAAAAGATTTTTTATTTTAGATTTTTTATTTCAAAATAAGCTATTTATTAGAAACTTTGTATTACATTTTCAAGTCTTAGGTATAATAATATATTTTTATTTATATTTTATACATTTTTAACTACGAAGTAATTTCCAAATGCTTTTAATATTGGTAAATTTTAGCAAATTTATACCTTCAAATGCGCCTAAAAATCACCTAAAATATTTTATAGTTATTTATAGAAAAAAAAAGTAAAAATGTCAATACACAACTCAACAAATCAAAATCGTTTGAAATTGATATAATACTAGTGTAGAAAATAATAACTCAAATTTCTCATGAAATTTTATTCGCGAATTTGTTATTTCATCTAAATTTAAACTTCTGACGCTCATAAAAAATATTTGTGGAATTTTAATCAACTTTTTATTTAAACTTAGTAAAAGCCACATGTAAAGAACTTTGTGTTAAGCTATAAAATCTTAGGTGCGCATATTAAAAATGTTTCACATTTTTGGAAATTTCTGAGGCTTATGAGAAATACCTCATGGAACTAATTTTACACGTTTAAAAATAATATTGTGACTATGTATTTTCAATATAATTTAATTTGTACAATATCCACTTATGAGGAACCTACCTAATATAAAATGTTCATGGTTTTTAATTAAGAACATTTTTATAGCGACATGTACATAATAATTATATAGACAATTTTTAAATAAGCGTTTGGTAAAAAAATTCAAATATATATGACTTTTTACTTTTTTTTACTCCAACGAAAAACAACAAAATCGATTTCATCAAAGCTGTTTTTTCTTAATTTTTTTTTTTAGATTTCCCAATTATTTTGAAAAATGGTGAACATTTTCAATTTTATCCTCTTAAAAACACCAACTAGATACACCTTATTTTATCTTAAATTACCCTCAAATATAGATGAGATCAAAGCATTTTATCGACTGTATTATTGAGTATATAGACACAAAAACATTTTTAAAAAACCAAACACGCATTTGTATAATCAATAGACTCTTCAGAATCTAAAATATAAAACGATACCTAATTAAAAATTATTTGATTGGTAATCAAAAAGAGCTGATCACAGACATTAAGCTTTGAGTCCGTATATATTTTTTAATTGTCTAGTTAAAGCCTAAAGGTAAGTTTTATATATAACAAAGACATAAAATATTGTTATTATGGATTTGAGGACTATAAAAAATCATTTTTTACAAGTCAAAAGTGTATGTTTTAAATTCGTTAATCGAATCATACAATTATCGAGTATGTATTCAGAGACAAATTATTATAATTATAATTATTTTCATTCCAAATAAGGATGCGTATGAAAATAAATAAATTTAACTCAGTTGATGCTAGGTAATAATAAATAACAAGCAAAAAAAAAAACCGGGAAGTTGATCTACTGTATAGTAGGGGGAAAGTGTACCTCATTGTAGTCATTGAGTATGTCATTGTGAAGGATAATATATTAAATTTTAATTCAATGATTAATTATTTTCTTCGATGGGTAAACGACTTTGGATGATTCCACTTGATATATAATAATTGTTATTAGTAATTTTAGTTTTCAACAAGCACTACGGTAGGTTGAACTAATTTTTTCCAAGAACTAATCGTACAAATATTATATTCTTAGTAATTATTTAATATTAATAATATCTCGTAGAATATTACTAAGTAGCTGTTATCCATACCTGGCATACCATTTGAAATTTGAATAGGTTCTTGTCTCTTGGTACTTATCAGTATGAATAATTGAAAATGTAATTGTGTACACATAGTTTAAAATGGTATACGTAGTAAAGAAAAGTTTTAAGAACCTATGAATAATATTTTTTGGATTTCAAAAAATAACCTAAAATCATTACCTATTCTTATTTTTTATACACTGGTTTGATTTTTTCGATTTTTCTTCATAGTTCTGGAAAATTTTAAAATTAAACCTCCTCAAAGTATTAATTCCAACTAGTTATAATTTTCCTATATAAACCATCCTAAAAGTTTAAGATTGAACTATTTTTTTTACCATAAAAAGTTTACAGACACAAATAAGAGAACGCACACACATCATCATAAAACCAATACATCCAATGCTCAGAGTCTAAAATTAATGAAAAATATGTTTTTTTGTTCATAAACAATTAGATTACAGACTACCCTACAAAAATGAATTTAGAACTAAATCCATTAATTACAGAAAATTCAACCTCTGACAAAAAATTTAAAAAAAAAACATTGTTTTCAATCCGAACAAAAAAATACAGTAAGTAAGTTTCAGTTCATTACACCATTATGTACTATAAGTCTATAAGGCCATAACTACTCCAACCAAGTTAAAAAGTCGAAAAAATATTCAAAGTTTTGGTCGGACCGCACAACACCTA